TTTGGCTTCTTGTCACGCCAGGAATCTGTTAACGCGGTACAAATATCATTTGTCCAAGGTCAAGAGGATACATTGGCTGATCTCCTCCCCAATAGGACTCCAATCCAACAAAGCGCAGATGGGACTCAACACCCAATGTGTGATGACACTGCTATGACAGACCACGCGAAGATCCTCCTAGGCAATCTAGTCCAGAAGTATTACAGTTCCAGGCCGCAATATATAACGAGAGGGTGCTACACGACGCATCGATGGCGACGTGTTCTGGAAGGCCTGTACCTACCTGTTCGAATCAGAGAAGAACTTCGTCGCCCTGGTGGGTTGGCCCAGCCAGGAACACTTCTGGATCAGTTAGACTAAAGCCAATTCCCATAATACCTGGAGAGCGCGGAGTAACAAAGGAGTGAGCACCGGCCTTCATCGGATGCACAACTTCTTGCTCATGTGAGGTTTGAGCTTTCTTCGTCTCTTTATCGTTTTGAATTTTTCCAACAGTGCCTTACCGTTTTTACAACTGGTGTGCTTGTATCAACCTTTGAGTGGTCTAGGGTAGGTGTGCTGTGAGGAATTCGGATATAGGATCAATGAACCAAAGCTCAAATTATGATATCCCATCAGAAGCCGAGCTTTCATGAGGCAAACTGCACGGAAAAAGGTGCCCCCTGACCACCCTAGGTATGGTTGACTACCCCATCAACAGTCACCTTCTGAAATATGTAACCCGCATGTATGCACGTAGTGATTCGACCGATGGCGGGTTATAATACTGTGCCTGTGTGCCTTTGACCGCTCTGGCTCAAGTTAGACAATAAAGGCGTATTCTGCTGCCCTGGACCAGTGCTCACCTTGACACGGCATTCTGGCAATTGTCTTGTTTCCTTCATCTGTAGGTGGGGCTGCTCTGCTAGCTTTGAGTGTCTTGTTTGCCTGTATCACTCTTTCCTTCTTCTTTCTCCGCTTCTTTGTCTCTTATTGGGAGTATAGGTACCTGATTTTTCTGGCCGTAGACTGGCTCAGGACTGTCAGTGCCTTACCCCCCCTTTTTTAGTTTGGTTTGTTTGTTTGTTTCGCTTGGTGTTGTTTTGGTTGGTTGCTCTTGCTCTTTCGTGCCCTCCTGGCTCCCCTTTCGTGGTCATCTCCCCCTCTGGCCTTGGCCTTTTCTGGACGTTCTCGCCCATTTGTGCTCCCCCTCGGTCTTTCTCTTTTTTAGTTGGTGTTCAGCATTTCGGTCTATTTGCCTCCGGGATTTCAACTTCCCCCGCCTTGCTCGCTGTTTCTACTTTTCTGTCTCCTGTCTGTCTTTTCTTCCTTTTGCGCTGTTTGTCCTCTCGGGTTTGGTGCCTGGTCTTTCTGGCCGTAGACTGGTCCAGGATTTCCAGCATCATCCTCTCCTTCATTTTCCCTTGTTTGCTTGTTTGTTTGGCTCAGCATTTACCATCCGGGTTCATCGTTATAAAATATCATTTCCCAGATTGATTATCTCCAGATAACGACCCCTGAGGTCATACCACATGGTTTACGGTGCGAAGGGCTCCTCCGGGTGCTCTCATGGGTTAGCTTTGATCTCCCTGACCACTGCAAACGGACCCTCAGCTCCCTCCTTCAGGCTGCTGGCAAGGGATGTGCTGATCTACATATGGTGCCATGGGATGACAGGGATGTCAGAGATAACCCCATTGCTACAGAGCAGGATCTTCGACAAATCCTGATCGACATGATCCCAATTCCTGGGCAGGCGAATGCAGAAGGGGGAGAGCTTATGCGAAACTTGCTCACCGAATTCCTCCGTGGGTTCCCCTTGCGCATTTTGATCTTCCTGCTTGATATGGTGTTGCCACAACTGGATGCGTACCATGCAGGTCGTCAGCTACAACACTTGTACCCCTGGACCAGCGTGTTATTGGCGCAACGACAAGAGCGAGGTCATCCGGGTGTTGAACTAGTAGTCCGATATGGCTATGAGGCCTTTGCAGGATTTCATGTCATGCAACTGATCACTGACTGCACTCCTCTTTTGCTCTTCAGTGACCCAAAGGCGGTTCCTTCTGCGTCACCATGGAGTTTGTGTGAACGTGGCAGCTTGGGAAGCATGGAAGCCAATGTGATGGCAGGGAGAGCCCTGTTTGGGCGCTTCCAGCTCCCCGAGGGCCCGCGTCGCTGTGCCATCTTCCTAGTCCAAGAAAAAGTCATGCAAGGTACTAGTCGGTCCGCTGACTCCCGTGCATACCGTCGAATTGCCCCGAAATCCCTCGAGCTAGTCCTGGTCTCCAAGTCTGTTGCGTTTGCATTTTGTGGCCGCCTCCTCGTGCAACAGCCAACGGAAGTGGAATACTTTGACCCTGAACGAGACTGGCCGAAACCCATTGTGCAAGTTTTTCGGTGGTGATGGAAGAAATGGCTTTCCTTGGTGACACACGAAGCAGATGTGAATTGCTGGTCTTCGCACAGGCCAATCCGGCACGACTCCCGCTGACGATGGGCATCCTGCAGCCAAACATCCCAGTGAGAAGAATGCTAAGTGAACGCCGGACGCAGCTCACGGACGCTTTGGTCCGGGTGCTCTGTCGCTTACTGACACCTATTGGAGTCGCTCTCCTAGGCCCGCATGATCAATATATGCGTGATACCCTACTCCCATTGGCAGCGCATGGGGATGGACATGTCCTTACGGTTGCAGTGGCATTGCTTCTGGCGATCCTCACTGGCCGCTCTGACCTGTGCATCGCAGGCGTTTTTGGTGCCGGCAAGACGCGCTCCTTGGCGGTTTTGTTAATAGCCCTCAGCTGCGAGCTCAGTGATTTCTATGCAATAGTGTACACCAAAGAAAATGTTGCTGCCAAAGCCTTGGCGGATCAAATCAGTGACCTAGCTCCACCCACACGAAGTGCCTTTGGACGGTTACTAGGTCGCATCGAAGAAGGTAAAGGCGAGGCGTATGCAACAAAAATTGATGTTCGATGCAGTGATCGTAACAGGGTTATTGCTGAGAAACGCATATTGATTGCGACTGGAGGCTCCGCTACGGCGGAAATGGCCATGAAATACTCGTCCTTTAGTCTCTGGCTCTCTAAAGTCTGGCTTGCATTTATGGATGAAAGTCAACAGTATGGCAATGCTAAATTTCGTGGGTCAGGTGGGGTATTTTTAAAAAAGAATTTATTTTTTTTTGGGATTTAAGGTTTTTAGGTTATGTGCCTGGATATGCACAACCCTTGAAGGGAAAATCCAGAAAATTATCATTGAACAAGGGCATGTTGCATACGTAGAAGTTGCTGTTTTGTGCTCAAATCACCTGAAAAATGCTCAAATTGCATCATTTTCTTGTTTTTTTCAATATTTTACACCGTTTTTTGCATTTCTCAGTGAGTCCTGAAAGATCCGATGCATTTTTTTACAAGAGAAACACATCATTTCCATACGTAAGAAAGTAAGAAAATTGCTATTTTTGCTTCAAATGGCAAAACATGGTCCAACAGTTCTTTGTTTCCAATGTTTTTGTTCCATTTTTCTGTGTTGAACATGGATTTCTCAAAATTGATTTGCCAAACATGGGCATTTATCATCAAAAAATGCATGAAATGCATTGTTTTCATGTTTTTTTTCAAAATTTTGGCACATGTTTTCAGTTCTCTGAGATTTGCAGATGCATGAAACATGTTTTTTACTCGCACAACACGTCATTTCAATAATAGAAAATTGTTATTTTTGCTTCAAATGACAAAACATGCTCCAACTTTGTTTCCAATGTTTTGTTCCATTTTTTTTTGTATTGAACATGGATGTCTCAAAATCAACTTGCCAAATATGGCCGTTTATCAGCAAAAAAATGCTAAACATGTATCTTTTTCATGCAAATGTTTGCAGTTTTTACAAGAGAAACATGTCCTGTGCTGTGAGTGTCAGTACATATTCTATGGACATTGGCCATGTTGCATACAAATGGATTCTATTGACAGTTTCAAGTTTCTTATGCGAATCATTCTGGTTTCTTATTTTGGGGGATTGTGCTTTAACCGACCCTTTGTTTTCCCCTCATTCAGGACAGGTGACGGTGACATTCTGGCCCAGGTTTCACAGGACGGTGACAGGCAGTGACAGGCGCAATTTTAAATGTTGGAACTTGGAACCGTAACTGTGACTGTAACTGTAACTGTTACTGTTACTGTACTGAAATTAGCACATGAATGTGTTTTTGCTAGCCGCTAGCCGTCCTCCACAGAGGCATGAATTTTGTTGACTCAAATTATTTTCATGTGACAGTGGCAGTGGCAGTCAGTGATTTCAGTTGTTTCAATTAACCAATCTCAAAACCTAGCTCCGCAATGCTCCGCAATGCTCCGCAATGCATGTTGGTGTGAACCTGAGGATTTGGGATATGCATGCATGTCTCAGAGTCTCAGTAGAGTAGAAACATCTACATGGATAAACTACGAACGGTTCATTAAAACTATTTGATGTTCTCGATTCGATGTGAAGCAAAATAAAAGACTGATCAGTATCATTGCGTTGAGTCACTGAGTCGTTGATTTGTGCCATGTGATAACAGACTGATAACTTTATCTGTAGTTATAACTGATAACTGAGTTCATTTTACCAGGCTGACTTCGCAAAAGGGTTGTTGTGTTTATTAAGATACAGACAGTGTTACAGAATTCACCCTTCTGCAGTGGTTCATGATTCGATTGCAGTGTCATAATCTTCCTCTGTCATGCCCAGGCTTGGACTTCGAGGATTGCTCATCACTCCTGTGGCATTCGCTGGTCTGGGACACCCAGGTTTCAGTTCCAGGTTCTCACATGTTCAGATTGGATTCAGATGTTCTGTTCTCTCACTGACTCTCACTCGATTGATTTTTGTCATTCTTGTTGACAATGCAAGAACTGAGATGAATCTTTGAAATCCCTTTTGGATGCTTCACATGGGGCCATGGCCAAAATATATGGTTCAAAATCTTTTCAGTGCACACCCGACCGTGTGACGTGTTGCAGTGGGCAAGCGCCATGTTGCCGACATTGGCAGTGGGTGCTGGCATATCTACTGCCCCACCTCGCGGCTTCATTGAAGCCAACATTGGCTACTTGGGCACTGACCAGCCGCTACCACACTCTGTGCCTGTGGATGCATACAGTACGCATCGCTGGAGCGAGACCCTGGAACAGATTGGCCGTAGCCTAGAGCATGGTACTTGTCAAGTTGGTCGATTGGAAAGTGTGCTTTTTTTGGTGAGGGATGGTCCTCCGCCACTGACTTCGCCGACTTCGGATTCGGAGCATCGTCCTGGAGATCCTCCTGCTGCAGAAGAGCCTCCTGCTGAAGAGACACCAGAGCCGGAGCCCACTTTGAATGCGGCCGAGAACCATCGCTTGGACCAGAAATTGTGGTTGTTGACCCAGGAAGTGGCCAAAGAGTTGGAGGCCAAAGGACACCCAAGACCATTTCAGTATGCTCAGTCCATCATCTCCTTGCGCTCGGTTCTCCTCCGCCGCCCCGAGCCAGAGCAAGAGCAAGAGGCCAATTGTGCCATTTTGTATTTTCAGGCAGGAGCTGACATTTTGCATCATGGTTGTGCTTTGCTTGATCTTTCATCTTCCCCTTTAAGTCTATTGATTCATTTTCCAGCTTGGGCTTGAACTACTAGCTGCCCTTCTGACTCCGATTATTGCATACAATTGTCAACTGTTTCGGTTTCCGACTTCACTTCCATACATACAATCCAAAATTTATCCCAGCTTCTTTTTCATGACTTTGATCTTTGAAGCCACCGGCCACCGCCCGCCGCCCGCCACCTCTTTATTTTGAAGTCACCGTCACCGTTCCACAGGTGTGTGACAGAGACAAACGCACATTGGTGTCTTTCCCGCGAGACTTCATCGAAGACCGCCTCCTGTCCTTGGAAGCAATATTTTCTGGCGAGGCCGAGGCACATCCCAATAGTCCAGAAAGAGATATGGAAATGGTCGATGACAACTGCTTGTTCCCGACTCTTGCTGCTGCAGCTCCAGGACTCGGACCAGGGTCTTTTCATGTGAGCCAGCAGCAATTGGAGATGAATCTTCAGAATCGTTTTCAGACATATATATTCTATCGACCATACAGAAAACATAGCAAAGATGATATTGCACAGCAAAACTGTTGCACAGCCAAGATGTTGCATTGTGACATGATCATGGTGATGGGCTACTTCTACTTTGCTATGTTTCTGTGTTGTGGATCAGCGCTCCTTGACTTGGATTGCTTCAGGACAGCAGGGGAACAAACAGTCGGCCGTACCTTGCATGGCAGCTGTCGCAACGCTTGATTCACAAAGCAGTATGTTCAGGATTGGGCGAAACATTTTTACCCACATGACCTTGGAACAGAGACCTGAAAGTTTTGAAGTCTTGGTACAGAGATACCAGGGAACGGGCCAACGCCAAGATGGCAAACAGGAGGTTGTGGCATCGGGAGACACCTTCGGTTGCAAACTTCGTGATGCAACTCCGGTCGATTTGGTGGCAAACATATCTCTGTGCAGCCTGGAAAACGTTGATATTCAATCAAAGGGTGATTCCAATTCCGATGCAAACTTGCTTTTGTTGCAGATGGTTGATAGCAAGGCATGGAGCTCTTGGGTCACACGAGTGCGCTCTTCAGGGCAACACAAATTTTGGATTCCTGATTCAGGGTCAGATCCTGCTTGCGTGCAACTTCGCAATGAAGGTTTGATCATTCCATCGGGGCCTGAGCCAGATCATTTTGTAATTTCAACCAAAGGCGCGAAAGCTTTGGAGGTGAAACTGCAGGTAGGTTCTACGATGTCATTGGAAGATTGCCACAAGCAGTCTGGCTGCATGAATATCCAGCGCATTTTTCATTTGGGTCCTTTTGGTTTTCTTTTCGCACTTTTTGATTCAAGAGGAAAGACAAGTGACTCAGTATTGCCTTTAGAGTCAGAACTGGTTGTAAGTTTTGCTAGCATGTGCCGCCACAGCCCAGGCAAACATCCTCGCAGTTGCCAGTGGCGAAGCAATCTGGTTTTGAATTGTTTATGATGATGCCCCATTGTGGATGGAATGTGGCACATCTTGGACGGAATGACTACTATGCCTTGGACAAAGACAAAGAATTTTGCATTGGAAACGCTGGCAGGGGTTTCCATCGAACATATTTGCTGGCCCTGCTTCAAGCTCAAGCACTTTTCCCTGCCGGGGTCAAAGCTATTTTCCATGGGCAGAGCAAAACATACTATGATACCATGCTTACCCTGGCTGAACGTGGAGAAAGTGCGCGGGAAGCGCTTGTGAATTTTGGGCCAAACAAATCAGCAGTTGAGTACAAAAATTTGTTGAGAACATTTGATAAAAAGCAACGAAAAAACGTTTTGGAAAAGGAGCAGCTGGATTCTCAGGGATTGGAGGACGCTGAAGATGAAGAGAGCATCATGAAAATTCTGCAGACAGATTTTTCGAAAGCTTCTGCCCAAAAAAAAGTGAGATCTGCAAGTCGCAAAGTTCAATTTCCAGAGCTGAGACCACAAGGTGTCTTGAGCATTGACTCTTCTTCCGAAGATGATGCGGGTGGTGACGGTGTGAAGGATACTTCTGGACTAGCCCGAGCCCGAGCCCCACCTGGTGCTCGGGGTCATGGCAGTCGATTGGCTGAGGCTGTAGCTACCATCCAAGAATATCATCAACAAGCAGCAGAGCAAAAGCAGGTCAAAAGAGCTGAGAAAAATTCACGCACGGTCACTAACCAATCTGCCGAAGCTGAAAATTTGGACATGGATTTGGACAGTGCCGGGGCCGGCGCCAAGCGAAGGCGCATGTTTCTCCACACAACGAGTGGCGCGGCTGAGATCAAACGGACTCCTGAGCAAGACAGTCAGCCTGCAGATGATCAGGAACCAAATGTGAAAGACAAATCTGCCACTGCCGATTTGAATGCACCAGCTGAGCCAGCTGGCCCTTCTGAACCAGCTCGGCATTTGGAGACTTCTTCACGGAGTGAGTCAGCAGCTGCAGTATCTGCAACTAGTGCGCCTGATCCATCTTCGTCGAGTCGCCCAACACCTGCGGAATCAGCTAACTCTTCCATGTCGAGTCACCCAGCACCTGCAGAATCAGCTCAGTCTTCCAGTGATCGTCCAGATCGACCAAGTTCAGTTGCTTCAGCTCCGCCTCCACCTGCTGTGCGTGCTCGGGACAGAGAAATACCATCTTCGTCGTCTTCAATGTTTAACTTGAGCACTGTGTGGCTGGGAGATATTCCATTGATCAAACGTCATGACAAGGACATAGAATCTTGAACATGCTTGGAAACTTTTGATGTCCCAAGACATTGGTCAGTCATGCATCATGAGGTGACAGTGGCATCAGACATCAATGATCAATCATCAATCCAGAATCCAGATTCCAGATCCACGTTATTACGAAAGCCAGCTAGCTGGCTAGTTGCTGTTTGCGAAGGAAGTGAGAATAGGGGGTGTGGGGGGCCGGGGTGGTTGCCGAAAGGGAACGAAATCTCGCCGTGCCCCTGTGCTGAGCACGAGAAAACGGAGCATTTTGCTGGATTATGTACCACTAGGTCATTTGCTGACGGTGGGCCGGTGGGGTATCGATTCCCCGTAGGTCCGCCTTTTTGGTGGCCGGAGAGACCATGAGGATGTATTGGAAAATGCAATGAAACTGCAGGAAAACATGACAACGATCAGAGGAAATCGTACAAAATCCCCTGGAAAACGGACGAAAACAGAGCGAATGCTAGGAACAAACCATGGAAAATCCCTTGGAGGAAACCGGAGCGAATGCTAGGCGCAAACCATGACGATGCAGTAAACATGCTGGAAAAATACAGTGAAAGTGCAGGAAAATGCGATAACAACCAGAGGAAATGGTGCAAAAACGATCGGAAACTGAAGGAGACGAGTAAAACTCTTGGAAAAATATATTGAAAATGCATGAAATGCAGGAAGCGAGAGGCGAGAGGAAATGGTACAAAAAGCCATAGAGGAAAACGGTGAAAATGGTAGGAAGCATGATGCATGTAATAAAAAAAACTTGACAAAACACAAAACACAGTGAAAACCTACAAAAGAGAAGAAAGTAACCACAGGAAACGGTAGAACAAACAGTGGAAACTGGAAGAAAAGTTGTGACAATATTAGGAAAACGGTGTACAAGCTAGGAAATGCCTGTAACAACTAGAGGAAACGATGTAGAAAACAGTACAACATGGAGGACACGCGTGAACATGCTAGGAGGCATGTAACATGTTAGGAAAATACAGTGAAAACCTAGGAACATGTTATAACTAAAAATGCTTTAAAAATATAATGAAAACAAAGACAATGTCAACGAGCGGAAACGATGGAAAGACCAGTGGCGCGCAGGAAAATCTGCGAAAACGACGTTAAAACAGAGGAAAATGGTGGACAAAAATATAGCAATTTACACAAGTCAAAAAGAAAGCGCTGGCTTTCGTTCCACCCCTTCTCAGGTAGGTGATGGCCGATGAACAAAGCAATATGGAATCTGGAACTAGAGCACTTTCGAATATTCTAGACAATTGGTAAGTATTCAAGATTATGATGGGCAAAGTATAGGTCAAAGCAGTTCTGATGACTGGTCTTCAATTTTTGATTGCGTTCTTGCAACCATGGTCATCCCTTGATGTTCCCACAGCCACAGCTGAGGATGCATACTATGTCACATGCCCACTCCATCGGAGCAACTCGAAAACGGCAACTGAACTTTGCTTATGCCTCCTCTCCTCTCATGAAGTTTTTATAGATGCAATGAATGCAATGCTGTCTACCGGTTTCATCAATGTTTTGCAAAGCTGGGGACAAGTTTGCCCTTTTCATACCAGCACACCTTGGCCAATCTGAGGCAAAGAGCGTAAATGTAAAAAGGAGATGTCGGTAGGGAGGCATCCTGAAGAAGTGGTCATCAGGATGATGGCATGGTGGGTGGCACAGGGTTTCTTGGAGCAGCGTTGAGTTTTTGTTGTCACTTGTGTTCCGATCACCAGCTCGAGCCAGCAGTGTTGATGTAGACATCACACGTTAACACGTTGGATTTGGATCAGAGCGGAAACGTTTGTGGATGTAGTAGTAAGGTATTCACCCACATGATCACATGGCCCAAACGTATGCCACAGCGATAGCATGTGACTCGACTCAGCAAAGGATACAAGCTTGTCCGCAGACCTAACGAGACCGATGAGGAATTTCGCCGACGCCACGTATTGATGGTACCTTGCCCAGCACCATGATCAAAGTATTCCTTGAAAACTGAAGATGCATTTTTTATCCGATGCGCAATTTGTACCAGTAGCAGTGCTATGTGTGCTAGCCATTGAATGTGGAACACAACCTGTGAGCCCTTGAACCTTTTTTTGGCAGGCACCGCCGAAGTCTGTGGATGAGCTGCCATCGCTGGATGAGTTGAAGGATGAGATCCAGCACTATAGCGCTTTGGGGGGAGGCATTTTGGCTGGCAGTTGAACTACACTGGTTACATTTAACTTTGATGTTGGAT